GTGGGGGGGGGGCGGAAGCGAGGCCAAAATTTGATGACCCCCAACCTTCATGCTGCCTTCCCAAAGCCAGTTAAGCAAGTTGCAAGGTTCTGGCAGGGACCCAGAGTGCACCCACCTCCTTCCTAAAGCTGGGAAAGTGCTAACTAGGCTTTGGGAAGGAAAAATGGTGGACTCTAGGACCGTATCAGAGCCCCTCACGTCTCCTTTCCAAAACCCTGAGCCTTGCTTACTCTCAGGCCACATGTTGGACTGCCCTGTGCTAGAAATAGCCAACTTAGCAATGCAGTGTGTGTATGGGTATGTACATACAGACTTCCCAATGTAACCAATGGCAAAAAAATTAAACACAAAGCTGAACAATCCGTCTCTGTAAAAATAAAATAATAAAAAACAAAATGAAGAAGCTCCAAAACTATAACATATAAATAAAAAACATATAAATAAAAAAATTCCAACTAAGACCAACTAAGTTTGTTATTGGTATGAGCTTTCGTATGCATGCACACTTCTTCATAGTGATTTTGAGATACTGCTCTCCACTGTCACAGGAGAAGGAGAGAAGGGTCAAAGTGATGCCTGGCCATATAATTCATGCCAAGCCACATAAAATTTGATAGCATAGTCTCTTCTTTCCCTAAACAAACAAAAATAACAGCAGGAAATATTTTTAGCACTTACGGTTGTGGAGAAAAGTAGCATAACACGAGAGCAAAATCTGCTTTAAAAACAGAAAATGTACCGGGGTTGTCCCTAGAATCATCCCTGCAACCCAGGATTCCAGAATGCTCTCTGGCCTAAGCCTAGACTAGTCCACCACAGGGCTTAGAGACAATTCTGGAAGGTGGAACACCAGTTTGTATGCAAGTGTGGACATGGAAAGTACTCTAAAATAAGAATCTTTATTTAATAACCATAGACTCAGCCCAGTTTCTTATTGAATTCAACAGCTGCAGCTGATGGGATTTCAAACCGACAACAACATGGGGGGGGGGGGCTAATGTTTTCCCACTCTGGTCTATAGGATTGTTTTGACTAATAGACTAGGCAATGGCCACTTCTGATTAGAGGAGTGCTGTTTTCAGTGTATCATATATTCTGAGTATCTGGAGACTAGACTGAGGGACTTGCAAATGTATTGGAAAGGGAGGGAAAGGTGAAAGGGAGAGAATGGATATTTGATTGCCTGGATGAAGGGATAAGACTATTTAAAGACACGACATTCTGCTTTGGCTTATATATCACATTTCTCAATACATGTAATGTGACAAGCCACTCTACATGATAACAAATCATCGATCTCTGTGGCATAGGTTGTTTTGCTCAGATTCATCTTCCTTCCTTTTTGGCTTCCCTCTTGCTGACTGCAGTATAAAATTAAATCTAAACTCAATCAGTCCATATTTCAGCTTGCCATTATCACACAGACATCCCTTACCACCCCACTCCTATTAAGTAAAATATACAGTTGTGTGTGTTAGCAGTATAAAAAAAATGATGATTTAGTCAAAAGGGGTGGTGGTGGTGGAAGAAGCCAGGTCCTGAACTCTCACAGAGGTAACTTGACTGAAATGCATTTTAATAGGAAAAAAATTGATTCCCTGTACAGCTGAACAAATGGAAACTTGAACTGTATTTCTCATATCAAATGGCATAATACATGTCATCAATAATGAAAAAGTTTTCTACGTGGCAGGCAATTATCTTAATTTAAAAACAAACACAAGCACCATACTACAATTTCATGCAGGGTAAGAATAATTGCTGCAAATTCTGTTGTCTAAGCTGCTGTACTTTACTCTCCATATATCTAATATTTGAAAGTGGGGCAACAGGGTGCAGACATCTTAGACAAGTGCCTTCTTGCAAGCGTACGCAGCAACAAGTGTTTGACACTTTTAACGTGCATTTATAATGGATTTCTACTGGACCATCTGCTCCTCCTGCTGCTGCTACATACGTGTTCTTCAATATTCCTACATTATTGACTCCACACTGGCTTTCCTTGAGTCCTCCCGGGCCACTGTTTCCATTTCCATAATCCACTCCCCTTTTTCAACAGTGGAAATCAGTTGCACTATCATGCCTTGCCACCATCCCACTTTTTCTACAGCTACAGCTCATCAGCCCAGACCAGGTGATCTGGGGTCCTAACCAGGTGTGTGTGCTGGGGGTGGGGTGGGTGGGAATCTGGGTTATGACCACAGCCAATGGATGTGACTCTTACTTTTGTACACAAGTCTATATTTCGGCCATACAAAAGCCAGAGGTTTTCAGACAAACATCTGTCCATGGTGCATGCAGGCAAGCAGAAGCCATCGTCCAAGAATACAATTTAGCCAGGCAAAAACACACAAGGAAGGGGTGGAGACAGCATTAGCCAAATGGCTAGATACTATCAGCCAAGACAGGAAAGAATCATGCAAACAAGTGCTAGTGGCCCACATGTCTTTAAGTACTTTGTCTATACCCTCAGGTTGCAACAACTGAAACCCACCCAGGCGATAATGGTGATACAGTTCTATGGGAGCATCTTGCTTATGGACTGCATTCAACACCACCTCCAAATTGGAATAGGTGTAATAGATTTCATTATGTGCAAACATTCATATCACATTATCCCAGGTATGTGCTGCATGTGTGAGAATGCATGTGCAAGATCCCCCATTGCATATTCAGGATCATGTCATGTTATGAAGGCAAATCCTTACTCTTTTTGAATTTTAATAGCTAGATCTCAGGGTTGTTGTTTTTTGCCATTTTACACAATCCGCTTGGTGCATAGCTTTCAATTGCTACAGCATCTCAATACCTGGATCATGGAAGGCTCTTTGCAAAAGTGGGATGCCCCTCAAAAATAAAAGGACACCTTGAGAGGTACAAACAGCATCCTATTGATAACACTAATGCACTTAGCAGCTTGGTCATTATTCAACCGTACTTTGTTAAAGGCCATTTCTATAAGAACCGCCCCCCCAACAATAAATCTTTGCTCCAATGGTCTAATTTGGAAGCCAAGTCTGCAAATAGATTTTGTTGGCATGCTCTGCAATCCCCTTAATGCTATCTATACATGCCATGCAGCAGTTTTATGACAAATGCTTCATTTTATATTCATCCAAGCAGCTTTCTATTTTAACCTTCAGTTCAAAACATAAATATAAGGGTGGCAGTTTTATGGGAGAAGGAAAAAAAGGGGGGATCTACAGATAATTAACTGTTGAATTGTATAAACACTGATTTATCCTCCTGCTTGTTTCCTTCCACAAGTAAGCAGATTAAAAACCGCAGCCAATGCCCGGGCCAACCAAAGTCATGCAGACATTCTTACCCCACAGAGCCATGAAGACTGAGAAGAAGACAGTTGCTGGGTTGTCAAAGAGATGGCTTGCCCGAGATGTGGCACAAGCGGAGCTCAGCTTCCAATAGCTACAGGTTCTATCGCATAAGGGACACATAGTAATATTGTTCCTCTGGTCACACATCTCCATGCTGAGAGAAAACAAACAGTGCATGTCAGGTAAATACAAACCATTCTTCAAACTTGGTGTTTTCTTGTCCTGCTTCTCCCCTGGTCCCAATCTGTAATTTATACAGATTGTATATTCACCTGGCTGACCTGCCAAAAGCTCTTTTCATGAATCCACCTCCTCATTTCAGACTTACCTATGGCTGTTTATACACCATACATTGAAAACATGCACCCCAAATCCTGAGAACTGAAGTTTGCTAAGAGTTCTGGAAGCTATAGCTTTGTACACTTTAAATATATAGTGTATACGCAGCCTATATGACAGTATTAGCTGCATGAAGTTACAGTACAAAAAAAGGAAGAAGGGAAATAGCACTGATTCCTTTATAGAGACTCTGCCCTTAAATGTTTGTCTATTATGCTGGTGTGGCTCTGCTATTGCTGCATTTTGTGATGGCATACTGGTCTAAGTATTTTTGTGCTGGTACAATATTGTATGCTTAGGGCATGAAATGTCTTTCCCGGACACCTAGGAGCCTGCAGAACACCAGTGCCCTAAGACATTCTACTCCATTCTCCTGAGACGCAACTAGTGTTGTTGTAGTTACTGAGCTATACTGGCCCAGTGTCAGTGTAAAGTGGCCAATATAATCTAACATGTAGCAACAGTTAAGGAAACTGGGACAGGCCACAGAATTGTGCTCTCCCTCAACCTTTCCTCCGCCCCCTGCATTCTCCTTTTCCTTCCCTTTTCAGCATTAACTACTGCTGCACTGACATTAACCCTGGTTAATACTGGCCAGTGTTTGCTTTTAACCAGAGCTTGAAAGCAGGGTATGAATATGGTCTCCAGACATCAGTTAAAGATAATTGAGGTTAATGTTAACTTTGGCTAGCACAATGCAGATAGAAAGCCATAAGATGGAAGGAAGAAATTCACATTGCGGCTAGGGAGGAAACACCAGCTCTGTAACCTGTTCTCATTCCATTTACGTACATGTTCCATAAATTATTTCTGTACCAGACCATTGCCTATCACTAAATTTCCCTCGGTCTAGGAATTATAGCAAGTAAACAAGTCAAGGCAGTTTAGGCATTTCAACGGAATTTGCCCCAGGTTAACTCCTATCTCCTGGTACCTTCATGGCACAAAGAACTTGTTTAGGCAGGCATTTCTATAGGAGTGAGGAAGACAGGGCAAGGGTGAGCCTTCTCTGGAAACAGACTTCAGAGGAACCCTCACTATGTACAAATGTACGAAGTATACATGGACTCAGAGCTTAATTTGCAGCACAGCTCTCTGAAGACCTGCTTTCAGTGCCATCCCTTAAACATGTGTACGTAACAGAATGCTTTGCAAAACGCATTCCCCATCCCATTAGTCCTCTTCAATTTGCAGAAGGAGAAAAGCATTTCCAGGCTGGTTGAGGTTTTTTTTGACACCCACTCCCTTCAACTTGTTAGCATACGCCCAAGCAGTTTTCAACTTGACCAGCATTTTCTAGGCATGGGGCTGGGCAGTTTTCTCCTTTCCCAGGAAAAACCCGCTCTTTAGCTTTAAATCAGAACAAACAGCAATCCACGGAAAATTGGGTTGCTGTTTGTTCTGAGTGAGCACTAGAGAGCAGTTTTCTCTGAGGAAGAGAAGCAGGACAAGAGCAAGTATGGATAAGCTCATAGCCTCTCCAGAACTCCTCCCAATGTGTAACCATTTTTCTTGAACTATGATGCTTAATAATAAAAATGACCATTAGAATCAAACTCATGCTTCAAGGAATATGAGAAGTCATGGGGGAAAGGGTTAAGTGGTGATCTACTATGTATTTTGGTAATTTGTTTGTTTGCTATGCATTTGGACACCTTTTAGAATTCTGGACTGGATTACTTCAGAGAATGACATTTCAGAAGACTAGTTCCAGGGATGCCAGTGCAGATGTTTCTGGACTCCAACTCCTATTATTCTTGACCATTGGCCATTCTTACTGATGGGGTTTGTAGGCCAATAACATCTGGAGAGCATCACATTGGCTATGCCTGGTCTATACTAAGGAAACTCTTTCCTCCCACATGCCACACTAAGTTCTGAACCCCTTACGTCTAATCTTTGCAGCGATTCCATCAGCCAGATACCACAAGGAAACAAAAATGTTGAGGAAAAACAGACATTTCCCATAAATTAGAACTGCGTCGCAAGTTGCAGCACTTAACTAATATACATTATTAGCATCCTTCTATTTCCTGTACCCTATATTGATCTATTTTCAATTAAAGATCTGAAAGCTTTAAAAAGCAGCCACAGAAAATGTGACTCTTGAGAGATATAAGGCAAGTAAGCTGATATCTTTTTCCTGAATAAGACCTGTTGGTGTCAGAGTATGCAAGCTTTCAAGACTGATGACAGCAAGTTACATATAATGGATCATTAAGTGAAGTTAGTAAAACTCCCATCTTATCAGCTTTGGACCTCATGCAGAACAGTTCTGTATGTATATTCAGAAGTCCCATTGACTTCAATGGAACTTACTCCCAGGTAAATGCGTACAGAGCATTGAAGCCTCATTCTTAGAGAATATCACTGTATATACAAGCTAAATAATAAAAAAAAAGTTGTCCAGTAGTACCTTAGAGCCCAACTAAGTTTGTTCTTGGTATAAGCTAACTAGTGCTTCTAATTTCAGCAGGGTGTAGATATTTCGATACTCAAAATTAATTCATCTCCCATCTATGAAATGGTCAAGCAGTTTCTGTGCATGGAAGCTGAGTACCTATTAGCACTCAATAGTTTTTTGTATATAAGAATCTCTGGATTTGGGGCAGTCCTTGCCCCTTATATGTACAAGACTCATCAACAGGCATGAAATAAGCTAATGCTTATACTTCCATCTAATGTTATTTATACATTTATCTTGAGTTCAGCAGTGTTAGCTATGTGCGAGAAGTTAATATACCTGCACAGTTCTTACAGCTGTAATCAGATGATAAACTTATTTCATGCCTGAGCATGACTGAGCAGACTGGACATGGCCTGTGTCATAAGAGGAAATGAGGACGTTTTGAACACGTGGAAGATGGAAACCCACAAATGTGTATGTTACCTTGGTATGTTCTCGTCCACTGTTGCACAGCCATACAGGAACACGATAATCCCCACAATGGAAGCTGGAATAAGCATTTGTGTATAAACGCCAAGCCAGGCAAAATACAGTCCAATCTTTTCACCAAAGTACTTTCTGAAATACATGGAAGGGGAAACATTGTGCAATGTTTACTATTTCTTAAATTGTACCATGCTTAAGCTTATGAATCACACAGCAGGGTTGACTTTGAAGGAGAAAATAAGCCCTGTTGATTAGTTGGAATGCATTTCCCCTTGGAGGATTCTTGTCTGCATGCTGCTTGGAACAGATCCAGGACTGGAGGCACCAAGTAAGTCATCCATTCCTGCTTATCAGGCAGCTTTGCTGATCTGTTTCTATAGCTATCTTGGTCACCACAGGCTTGGCGAGGATCTCCTCACACTGGCTCAGTTCAGACACAATGATAAAGCATGGTTTATTGTTATGAGGACAATAAGGCATGTCTTCTTTCCTCCCTGCCCCAAGTGCAAGGCAAGGGGATTGGGAGGCTCAGCTTCCACTTAGTGGCAAACCACAGTACACCGTTTCCTTTAAGCCAGGCATGGCCAAACTTGGCCCTCCAGATGTTTTGGGACTACAACTCCCATCATCCCTAGCTAACAGGACCAGTAGTCAGCGATGATGGGAATTGTAGTCCCCAAACATCTGGAGGGCCAAGTTTGGCCATGCCTGCTTTAAGTAAAGCATAGTTTGCAAAATCCAGACACCATAGCAAACTGTGGTTTGCCATTAAGTAGAAACAATAGCCTTCAATTTCCTTCCCTCACATATGTCTGAAATGAGCTTTCCTTTTAGTGCACAGACTCTCCTGTTCCAAAAGCAATAAATGAAACCCAGATTCTAAGTGTAGAGTCTTAATTTAACAAAGTCTTCCTTTATTTTGTGCAGATGAATGTGATAAATGGAGCTGCACAATATATTGAAGTGTCTGGCCAAAAGCTGAAAAAAAATGAAGTAGGAGGTTAGAGAGAAAAATATATTCCCTTGCTGATTCTTTCCAGTGAAGCTTTCATTAAGTCAAAGTATATTGCTAATGGATACTGTTCCATTCAGCCTTTTGTAGTAAGGTGGTGTCACTAGAATTTGGTGGTGGTAGCAGAGCATTCAGGTTTTTCCCAAGCTGCATCTCTCTGGGAATTGCTGAAAAGGGTGGAGTTGCAAAATAGTACCTGCTACCTGCCTTGTTACCTTTGGGGCCTTGCTATACATTGTGTTTAAAATTAGCAGTTTTGTCATTTTTTAAAAAATAAAATGAAATACTAGGAATGTGGGAAGGGGGTGAGTATCAGTTTGGCATCAATTTGTGGAAGTTTAGGCCACTCCTCCCCAGCCATGATCCCATTTTCTCCACTCCTATTGTTGGACGCAGCATGGTGTAGTGGTTTGATTGTTGGATTTGGACCTGGAGGGCCAGAGTTCAAATCCCCACACAATAATGAAGCTCACTGGGTAACTATGGACCAGTTTCTATCTCTTGGTCTAATCTATGCCACAGAGTTGTTGTGAGGATAAAATCTGAGTGTGGGGGAATAACCATGCATGTTCCTGGAGAAAAGGTAGGCTATAAATTGAATTAAAACAAAATAAGCATGATCTTAAGTTTGTGGAAGGATCACAGTACAGTAATAGAGAACATTATTGCATGCAGAAACTTCAGTCCCAGGCATCTCCAGGTAAAAAGGTAAAGGACCCCTGGACGGTTAAGTCCAGTCAAAGGTGACTATGGGGTTGTGGTGCTCATCTCGCTTTCAGGCTGAGGGAGCCAGTGTTTGTCCACAGACAGCCTTCCGGGTCATGTGGCCAGCATGACTAAACCGCTTCTGGCTCAATGGAACACAGTGACAGAAAACAGAGTGCATGGAAACGCCATTTACCTTCCCACCGCAGCGGCACCTACTTGCACAGGTGTGCTTTCGAACTGGTAGGTTGGCAGGAGCTGGGACAGAGCAACAGGAGCTTACTCCGTCATGGGGATTTGAACCACCAACCTTCAAATTGGCACGCCCAAGAAGCTCAGTGGTTTAGACCACAGTGCCACCTACATTTAGAACCACTCTTGGTTGTCAAACTGAATACAGAGAGAGGATGAACATATGACCTGGGCAGTTTGACTTTTCTCTTGAGCCTCAAGCTGTAAACAAACATTTGGAGGAAAGGGGCAAGGCAATATTTTAGGTTTAATGAGGGACCACATTCTCCTTACCTCACCAGGTCAATTGGTTGGTACTTATAAAAGACTCCATAACTTGCCCATTCCTCACACAGGAGCTGTAAAAGAAATTTAAAATTAAAACTAAAACTAAAACTGCAAGCAAGCAGTTCCTTCCTTGCTTCCACTACAGAGTTCACATTGTCCTCTGGTGTCACCATCTTGTGGGTTTATGTTCTTTAATCCACCAATACATATAATTTGCATTAAGTATTGAACATGAGTTTGATGGTTTGGCTCACTGACAGCTTCTTGTATTAATCTACAAGAGAACTAACAGACAGATATAAAGGTGCTGGGGGGCGGAGGGCGGGAGGCAAGAGCGGCCTTGATGTATGATTTGTAGCAATGCACATACTAGAAAGGCTCTTAATAGATCTGGAGGATGTTTGTTCTTTGAGTTATTAGTGTGGGTTAAGATGAAAGAACCTGGCTTATAGCCTCTGAACTAATATTATGCACTATATGAAAGATGCACACTGAACCTAAGAGTAGGACAAAATGATCTTTCTTTATTATTCTTTCCTTCTTTTTTTTACCACGATGTTAGCCAAATCAAATAAAGACCACTATTAGTATAAACCCATAAAATTAGAGAAAACTGAGCTGGCCATTTTCTTTCTTTCTTTCTTTCTTTCTTTCTTTCTTTTTTTAAAAGATTGATTATTCTTGTCACTGTGTAATGACAGGGAGAAAAATAACAATATTTGTGCTTGGTGTGTTATTGTTGATTGCTGCAATTCTGCCCCACCCTCAATTTTGTTCAACACCCCTTTAAATGATGGCTATTGATTTTGATTTGTGCAAGTTTGTTGGATTACAGCCAGTGAGTTTTAATATTCCACAGAGGTATGCATTTCACTACCAAACACTACCCCCCTCAATTTACATCCAAACTCCTCAGGACACAGGGATAAGTCTGGAGGTCAGTTGGGCCAAATCTATGACAGTAGAATGTGCAAACACAACCCTATCATGTTGCGGGAGAGGTGAGACTCTGGAGATCTTGCCACTGCAGCATTTATGAAAATCAGAGAACCATCATGAATATGTTAGGCTTGGCATGCAGTTAATCTCAATTCTTAAATTAAACTTCTGAAATAACCAAATTCTCCAAATGTCAAGGAAAGTGTTTCAGTTACTTTTGTGTGTTTGTAACACTTTTTTCATTTAGGACTTTTGGACTGACCACTTGATTCATAGTTCATAATTGAAGGTTTTATATTGCAATCTGCAGAGTGAAAAATTGCAGCTGAATGAGGAGGCAATGAGGCCTCCTTGCTCAGTAGTGTGGG